GTATAAAAGCCACTGTAATCTACTCCTCTGTTATTAACAGTTATTGTGTTAGAAGTTCAAACGCACCAACCATTCCCGGAAACTCTATACAGGGTTGCTGAGTTGGAACTGACTCAGTGAAACTGCACAACAACCACATGTGTTCTTTGGGAGTGTGGTGGCTCTGTAGGATAAGCATTGGACTGCAAATTACAAGTTCAGCACTTTGAGTCCACCAGCTGCTCCTCGGAAGAAAGATGAAGCTTTCTGCTTCTGGAAAGATTTACAGCCTCAGAAATCCTATATAGGGTCACTGTGAATCAGAACAGACACAGTGACACTTAACAACAACAACATATATTCTTTAAACAGCCTTTTAAAGTTATTTGAAATAATTTTATATTGAAGAATTTGATGCATTTCAAAGAAAAAAGTAATGACTATGGTGCTTTAGAGTTAGGCTTTAGTATGCTGTGTGAGCTTTTTGCTTATTTGCTTTTTATTCTGTCAATTTATGTAATTTTCTCTTTCTGAAATCTACATTGTTTATGGAAATGGCACTCTTTTTTATCATTTGTTCAACAGAGACTTCATTTTGATTTAAATATTAAGCGTAAAGCAAAGTAAGTTTTCTAGAATTCTATAAGCTCTTTAAACAATTTCCTGGGCTGTTCATTATGCTCTTGAGGTATCTTTGTAGATACTTTTGTACCTCATATATTTTCGTTTATATATTAGAATGTGACTACCTGCCTTGTAACTATGTGCTATTGTTGTTAAGTAACAACACAAGGTCAGCCACTCCTTGGAAACACCTATACAGGGTCGCTACGAGTCGAAATCAACTCGATGGCACTCAACAATAACAAAAACAACATTGTTGTTAAGTAACCTGGAGTCAGTTCCAATGGCCCTGTACAGAGCTTCCAAGGAGGGGCTTGTGGGTTTGAACCACTGACCTTGCAGTTAGCAGTTCAGTGTTTATTCTACAGCACCACACCTGGACTCCACAGAGGAGGGAAATTCAATAGTACCTTTTAAAAGTTACTACATTTCAAGCCATGGTATTTTCAATAACCTCATATGGATCTGAAAGCTGGACAGTGAATAAGGAAGATCGTAGAAGAATTGAT